CACCTCTTTCAAGAAAAATGGCTCCACATATTAGTTGCCACGTCACACATACATTGGTTCCCGTAAATTGCCCTTTAAAAAATGAGTAATTAATATAATCCAAAATTAACATAAATATAGTAGTACTAAGATATTAATATTTTGTCAGTAATTGTCTCATTTCCACGTAATCTTTGGATAAGCGCCTCCATCTTTATAAACTTGAAGTTACGAATATACCCCTATAATATTTTTGGATATTTAACGTTTACTAGTCATAGTCACATTTTCAACTTCCTACGTGCTCTTGAGTAGGACATTTTTTTAAAAATTATTCCCACTTTGGGGATTAACTATTATTATTATTATTATTATTTTTATAATGTTTTAAGGATCTCCACTAAGAAAAAAAATAAAAAAATTATCACCGACACTAATTTTGCTGGATCTTCAACATACTCAGAGAATAATATTCAAATTTAGGATAGTTTTAAAAAATAAAATAAAAATACACATAATATTCATAGTCAATAATTATAATTTATAATTATCGATCACTTCGGGACATCTAATGAAAAAAATAATTATAATTATCGAATTTTTGTTTGAGATTAATAAATATCTAATTATTTGAAAATTAAGTTAACTAAAATTATTTATTTTAATTGTATTTGTATTTATCGATAAACCAATTCAAATTAAAACTCGACTTCACAGTAAATTTTAACTTATTGTATACTTTTACATCCCAGAAAAACAAAAAGGTTAAGTGTTAATTAAGTTGACCATATATACCACAGTTACCACTAGTGACATGAAGCAAAAACATTTATTAAGGTATGAAGGGTAAACATTCGGAGAAGAGGATTTAACATCTATTATATATATATAAGTAAAAAATAATTTTAGTTATGTATAAATATTCAGAATCACGCTCTCTGTCTTTACAAGGTGATGATAAGGCATGTATATGTTATGTATTTTACTTTCTCCAGATCTCACTTAGTGTGATTTCAATATGTTGTTGTATAAATTGTGTACTCGACCTTACGTGACTCCATCCTTCTAAACCACTAAAAAATATGATGCAACGGACAATACAACTCCTCCCTTATCAAAGTCTTAATTTCGAGTTCTTAAATAAAAAATTCTTAATAGAGAGTGTTATCCTTGAACAGACCACCGTGGTAATTTTTTTTTTATCGAGGATAGAAAACCATATAAATTCCCATTTTTTCTTGTCAAATTTAAAAAAGAAAAAGAGGATTCTCCTTCAAATTTAAAAATATCTAGATTATTCAATATTATTTCTTTTGTCATTTTGTGAAGAAAGGGCATTTATGTCATTTCGTAAAAGCAAAGAAGAAAAGACCATCTCCCCTGCAAACTATTTCAACCCCATTTGATCATCATTTTTCATAACCATTTTCTCATTTCTCACATACCATAAAATCTCTGAAACTTTTCGATCATCCAAAAATGCTTGCAGTTTTTGACAAATCTGTGGCTAAAAGCCCAGAAGCCCTTCAAAGTCCTAACAATGATGGTGCAGTTTCAGCACTGAAAGATGGTTTTTTGGCACAGCATTTCTCCTCTGCCCATTCTGGTTCAGTTACCATCAACCTTGCTTCTTCTGGATTCCTGGCTTACTCATCTGAACGACAAAACCCTCTTCTTCCCAGGTTCTAATTTTCTCAAATCTAAGTTACCCCATTTTTTCATTGATCTGAATTTTTTGTGAATTTTGAAATGATTCTTGTTGTTACATTTTGTTACTGTAGTAGGAAAACAAGATCTTCATTTTGGCATTAAAGTTTTTAGTTGATTGTTTGATTGATTCACAATGTTGACTTTAAATTTCTACCCATTTTCTGGAATCTGCTGTTGTCTAACCCCATTTTCTCTTCTTTTGGGAAAACCTTGATCTGTTTTTTTTTAATGGTCAATAGTTGATTTTTTGTTCTTGTGTTACTCTGATATCTGCTAGTTATGCATGCTGGATTTGTGATGTGTGTTTTTTTGTAAGTTTTGGTTTGGATCTAACAATGGTGTTTTCTGGGGTTTAGGTTTTAGGAGAGAACCAAGACTTGTTTGTTTGACAGGACAAAAAATTTGTGTTGTTTAATCCTTTTTCATTTTTATTTCATCATCACTGTCATAATCATCATTCAAACTGTTTGGAAATGCTTTATTTAAGCGAGTGTCTGTCAGAAACAACCTCTATATGTTTACGAGGTAGGGGTAAGGTCCGCGACTCTGTGTACACGCTACCCTCTATGGACCCCGCTTGTGAGATTACATTGGGTATGTTGTTGATGTTGTTATAATCATCATTGAGTTGCTGGTTTAGTATGCTTACTAATTTGTGTAAAGTCTCTTCGGATTATGTCATGTTAGAGGAATCTAGTATTTCGTTTGTAGATTCATTTTCACCATTCTAGACACCATGACCTATAATTTCTAGCTAAGAGTAGGAGCCAAAAGTCCTTTTTTTGACTTTTGATCTTTAGGAATTTGGATTTATGTACTCTATCCAAAACACATTTTCTAGATACTCCTTGAGCCTCAGAATAATGTCATTCTAGTTGACCATCAAACTTCTTTTTGGTAGTAATGTTATCCAACCAATCTGTATATAAACTTCACAAGTGCGATTTTGAAATTCGTTTAGTGCTGAAGTTGGGATTGTTGTTTCTAGAAGCAGAAGAAAAGCCACAACTAAAGATTGTTGAGGCTGGTGTTGGGCCTCAGGCATATGAATGACTTTGCTTGTACTTCACTGTCTTGGTTCTGTTGTATTGTCAAGTTAGAATAATCGCCTTCATTTTCGGCAGAAACATTCTAGTCAAGATGCATATTTCCTTAAGCCTTATTTCATTTTTGGGAGATAAGGAAGCGGGAACATTCTTGGGACCTAAAACAGTCTAGCAACTTTGTTTTAGTGTTTTTGCGTGCCATTTGAATTTGTAAAACGGATAACGTTAATTGGATGATTGCACACTGATATTACTGCTCTGTTCTTGTAGGTTGTTTGCTGTTGTGGATGACATTTTCTGCATGTTTCAAGGCCACATCGAGAATGTAGCACATCTTAAGCAACAGTATGGGTTAAACAAGACTGCAAATGAAGTGATCATTGTTATTGAGGCTTACAGGACTTTGAGGGATAGAGGTCCTTATCCTCCAGATCAGGTTGTGAAGGATATTCATGGAAAGTTTGCATTTGTTCTTTATGATAGCGCTTCAAAGAGTACCTTTCTAGCTTCTGTAAGTTTTCTTTATCACCCTATCTTGATCTTGACGTATCTTTGATATTCTCGGTCTTGGCTTAAATGTGCAAGTTTTGTTGGTATAGGATGTTGATGGCAGTGTGCCCTTCTTCTGGGGTACCGATTCTGAAGGCCACCTAGTTCTCTCTGATGATGCTGACATTGTGAAGCAAGGCTGTGGGAAATCCTTTGCACCATTTCCCAAAGGTAATGTCAATGAACTTCTAGCTTTGAAGGGAAAGGTCCTGGAACCTAATAAATTGAACAATAGTATTTACTTTTATTTTTCAGTAAGTAATCAGTAAGAGAACTTGTATATGGAAAAACAAAGGGGTAGCTCATCTATAGGGTGATTGAAATTGAAAAGCATGCTCTTTGTAGACCAAGCCCCATATTGAAATCGAATGATTTGATGTTTGCCAGATCCACCGAGTCTATTTGTGCAAGTAGTTATCTTTGTGTAACTTTTCATTTCCTTTTTTCTGGGTGAAAAAGAGGGTATATTAGGGAGGGCTAGGTGGGTTCATTTGGCAAGGCTGAGATATGCCTATTCATAATTCAATCAAATGGGATGGGATTTATAAAACTCTGGTTGACACATGGCATGCTACCTCTGTTTTGGTTCTATGTGTCATATGCTTCTCATACTCTTTACCACCTTCTCGGAATTGGTTTCTCCCTGTGTTTTATGTTAATTGTTTTGTTTCTTTTTGAAGATCCTTGATGTCCATTGGTTTACTGTTAAATCTTTACATAATACTTAATGTCATATTGTCTTGTTTGCTACTTCAGGGTGCTTTTTCACATCTTCTGGTGGCTTGAGGAGTTATGAGCATCCACGCAATGAGTTGAAGCCAGTACCTAGGGTGGACAGCTCAGGTGAGGTGTGTGGTGCAAATTTTAAGGTGGACTCAGAGTCTAAGAAAGTGGATTCAGGCATGCCCAGAGTGGGTAGTGCTGCTAACTGGTCACAACACTACTAAGCTGACTGCTGTTCTCATCACCATGAAGGCTTTGTTATTAGTTGGCCTTCTATCTGTTATTGCCAACTCGTTCTGCTATCAACTAGTTGATAACTTCTCTATTGCACTGGGCTTTTTATGGTTTGTAGAGAAATGTTAAAAAGTGAGGAAAGATATTTTATATGACTTTCCAATGCATGTGAATCTCTCTGTGTCGTACACTGAAGTAAGCCATTTTCTTGGCTGGAAGACACTCTAAATAAGAGTCTTTGATACAGGGGCTTTGCTCATCTTGTATGCGTATTTGGTGCTTCCATTTTCCTGTTACCCTTGCATTTTCCCATGTTTTCAAATGGTTTTTAGATAATCTTGGCATGTTACACATACATGCTGGCAGGCAAATGTTTCTTGCTAATAAGATGTATCGGCAGACAGGTATCAGAAGACAGCTGTGATTAGTGAACACAGATGATTGGATTAGGTATCAGGAATAAAAATTGCATGCTAAAAAGACTGCCAACACAAGCATATTTTTGTTATTGCTATTGCATGTCAACATTTTATGAAACGTCTGTGATAATACAAGGGAACTAGACTCTTAATATTGTCATTTTCTAAGAGCAAGAAACTAATTATATTAGTGATAACACAGCACCCAATCAAAATAAGTGTAAGAAAACATTGTCTTACAAACTCATTTATGCTAAATTGATATATTTATAGCTTACATTAAAAAGTAAGCGTCAAAATAGGAAAATAAGCAGCTCTTGTTGCAAGTCCTAGCTGATTTTCAGTCTTTAGCATCAGCAATTCCTCCTGCTGTTATCTGGAAAACGTGTTTTTCGTCAAGGAACTTAAATAACTGAACCATCTAGTTTAACACTGCACTAATCTCGACTCAGTGGAAAGAAGAGATGCAGCAATCACAGATATATAGGGTAGAGTTTCTTCTTGTCTCTGTACATTATAATCACAGTAAGATGAGATAGAAAAACTAATATAACAAGAAAAGGATATCGCTTCAGACTCTGGAAGATTTGGTGCATCGAACACCTTGCAGACACGCTGTTCTCCTTTGCCCTTCCTGAACATTAGTCTTATGGTGGCTGCGTGAGCAAGGACATGACCTCCTGCTGGTTTCTTTGGATCTGATATGAACACACCACCGCCTGGATCAGCTATAACTGCATTCACCAATACAGGTGCTTGTGTTAGCATGGATAGAGTTCCAACGTCGAGAAAGACAATCAATATACAGTAACACAAAAAGAAAGTCTGTTTAGCTGGGTGCCATGCAAAGAGTATTACATAGGAAGATTTGGAGTCAAATCCATTTACATTGACACTTAGGAAGTAGCAGTGTATCTATACACTTGTTCTTTCTGCGTTAACTCTAAACCAATCAACATTTTGTACAACTAAGCAAGGTTGGATTGCATACCTTGATTGGTCATGTAAACAGCAACATTAAATTCCTCAGCTATCTTTATCAATCGGGACAGCATCTGAGCCAACTTTTGCTGGAAATGGCAAGAAGGCGTAAGCATTCAGAAAAAGTGTATCAGAACAGGTGATTGCAGGCTCTTCTTAACACAGATAAATATCAAGAGATAGGAACTAAATAAATCAAATATTATGCTCTGTATTTAGTTATACCTGACGGTCTGCAAGCTCTCCTCTTCCAGTGAAATCCACTCGAAATAAAGCAATCACAGAATCAACAATCTGCAAGTAAAATTTCAGTATCTGAGACAACTGCCATCAGTAATGGTCTTATTCAGGATAAAGTAGATGTTGTGGCTTTCACCAGAAGTCTGAAAGGCTCTTCAGCCATTTTTGCAGCCAGACCAAGAAGCAGGTTGTATTGATGTTCATATGTGTATGCACGAGCATAAATGATCTGATCGCATAATAAGGAAAGGAAGGATAAGAAAATCAGTACACTAAACAAACAGCAGTAGATGATTAAATGTGGGTGTAAAAGATACTTTACATTGTCAAGAACTGCTCCAGCGTCCATTCCAAATCTTTCAGCAATGGGCACAACACGATCTGGCCGACTGTAGTACACTAGGTTGAGGAAAAAAGATAAAATGGAAGGGAAGCATTCGCTTGAGTTTCTGCAGCTGCAACTTAATGAAGAGACTAATAGGTGCTTAGTTTGAATTTTCATGCTATATGAGTAGCGAAATATTAGCAAGGATACAATGTTCCCTCAGTGTCAATGTAAGCCACCTTTCCATTCCCTCCTTTCATACTAGTAGGAAGCTGCAATAAATCAGACAAATCAATTGGCAATCTTGTCAAATTCTGGATGATACCACGATTCAGCATAAAGCATACAAAGGATCAGGAGTAATCTAGACGATAAAGATGTTTCATTGCTTCTGACTAAGATCAGAGGTAAACCTGAGTAGAGACACAGAGAGTATGAGCAAGTTGTGTCTTTCCAGATCTGAATACATTGTTCATTCAGCAAAGTTAGATGAAATATTCTACCGCAAGGCTAATACATTTGTTAATTGATTCTTACCGAAATTCCCCAAAAGCTTCAGTTATTGCTGAAGTTTCTATTCCTCCTTCAAAAGTTCACACGAAAAAAGAAAAAAAGAAACAACAAGAATCAGGAGCCTTTTCTGTACAAACAAAAAAGCATTCAGAATTCATCATGCAGGAGCAAAAAGTTTACCTCCTAAGAGTTCATCCAATGCCTGGCTTCCAGTTGTGATGCGAACTACTGCCTTCCTCTGTAACAAACATGTAGTTATTTCAGTCTTCTGTTCTTATTTATCCAAGGCACAAATAGGACTTTGCACTTTCTTATGCCACACAAGAAGAAGAATGGAAGTGGACAGCAAGAAAAACAAAAACAGTGATTTTATTCCATACTAATGTGATCCTGTTTAATTATTCAGTGACGTCAATATATTAGTAACGTAAAATGGAATCAGTACAACAAACTCCAGTAAGTTCATGCATAAAACGGAAAGAGAGAAGAAAATGTATACTTTGAGCAGAGCCTCACTCCCAGTAATGTAGCCGAAGTTCTGCAAGGATTACGAAAAGAGACAGTAAGTAGCAGAAAAAACAGATGATGGTATAATCAACAGGAATATGACTATCAGAACATAAATCAATATAAATCATCAACCACTATCTTCTCAGCTGCTTCACAGATCTTTTCAACTTTTGCCTCGGATAACCCTTTGATCCCAGTCAAGTTCTGGAAACAGGAAAAGTTAGATACTTATTAGATGGAGGAGTGACGAATGGAACTATAAAGCAGCACTTGGTGGATAATAACACGAGTTGCTTTTTCCTTTCACCTTCTTTGTGTGCATCATCAAGCCATTGCACGTGTAGATACCAGCGTCTTGCAGCTTCTTCACGTCCCCAGCATTGATTCCATGAGTGATCACTGCATAAATGACCAGTCATTTTAAACAAACTTGCTGATTTGACTTTTAATCCTTAGAGAAGTTCATCAGGATTACAAGAATTTATATTTGTTATTGAAAACAGAGAATGTAGCTTCATCCTTCCAGTTTAAGATCTGTTATGTATTTTACATTCAATTGTAAAGTTCAAGGAGATAGCCATCTATTAAAGACTACTGCATGACATACCTTACATGTAGATATCAGGAGGAGCATAATACTACAAATTTGAGTTTGTACTCTCCTAAAACACAGTTATTGAGATATACAATACATTCATAACATTCAAAAGGACCGTGATACATATGATCAACAATGAAAACATCATAAACAGAAGAGAAACCCGAACTGTGCAAATTATGCTACAATGATGAGATCAAAACACAGACACATTGATGGAAAAATAGGATAAACAGTACAATAATGAGCATAAAAACAGTTACTAAAATATATGGACATAGTGTAATCAACTGATTTGGAGCTAGAATTGTATGAGTTAACGAAGAGAAATACAGAGAGCAATGAATTTACTAAAATTAAACAAAGTTCCTTGAATCGACTATAAAAGAAGAATTGAAACCGAAACCGTGATAATTCTCCACAAACATAAGATCAATTAACACACACAAACACAGCTAGCATTGATAGAATATTGGAACAAGTAGCTTGAGCGATGAGGAAAGAGTAATTATACACATAAACGATATGTACTAAACTATTCCAGAGAAAAACATAATGTATCACAGAAAACCTAATCAGATCCAGATCTATCGTAAACTAACATGAATTCCGAAACAAAGTTGCTGTTGATTTTCTCAGGTGAAATTTACATATCGTACTCCACAACACAGTGTATTGAGTCAAACTGAAAAACAGAGCCATAATTTTCATTAACTAACAAGAAAAATCAAGCAGCACTGGATAATGAATATTTGAAGTTAAACAACGCTATTGCTGAATTATGAAGAAAAACGAGAATACGCTGTTTACTGACAAAGCTGAAAAATGATAATTATACGAATTTCACGACGGGAAGGAAAATGATATTACGCTTATCAATAGCTTCAAACAAGTCTTCTTCATCGTCGATATCTTCTCTTTCAACGAGCTGTAACTGATCTTCAGGCCTGAAATCAATCAATCAACACATCAGAATACACGCCACAATCAAAACAGAACGATAAGAAAGTGGTAAACAGAGAGGTAAAGGAACTGGAGAGTACTTGAATGCAAGCATTTTCAGAGAGATTGAGAGGATAACGGTGATCGGAAATTTGAAAATTTGCTGAAAGGAAATAGAAATGGTGGTGTTTCGCGTAAGTTTGAAAATATGAATTCTCTCTGAAAGTTATCAAGAGTTTATATACACAAGCGGAACCCGCGAAGTTCTATGGATTTGAATTTATTTTCGTGTTTGGGTTCCGATTGCATGTGGTCACGTACAATTTACTCTGGTGGAGCCTTTTTCGTAATTCCTTTGAAATTTTAGAGATGTTATTGTTTGTAATGGAAATCACACATGCTAAGGAACGATATTATTTTAACTGTTGAGAAATGCAAGCTATATGCAAAAATGGTTTAATGTTTTAAAAAATAGTAGTAGTTATTTATGATTAGTTTAATACTCGATCTTGATTAATTAGAGCGTTAATAACATAATATGAGAGACTCAATATTAAGTAAATTTATGATAGAATCTACAACGCTACGTCTGCTACCATGTCAAATATCATTCCATGTGCAAATAATTGAAACTTACTTATCTAAGTTTTGCGTATGATTTAATGATATTCTATAAAGTTGATATAGATTATGTGTTATGGAGATTGGAGGCCCTTTCACAGTACTTTAGCAATACTTCAAGTTTGATTGCTAAGTATATGGAGAAGTCTACATTCTTGGCTAAGATAGATGAAAATTGATTATATTGATGATGTATATAACTTAAACTCATAAATAAACATAGAATAAAAAGAAGTATGCAAACAACCAAGGTAGCACTTGTGGAACTGTTGAATCGGCAGAGGAGCTGAAATGTCTTGACACAAATAATAAAAAAAGGATAATATCTTGTTACTGCTCCTCTTTTTTTCCTTTGGGAAACTAAAGACGTTTTGAATACTAGCAGCTCCTAATGAAGCAATTTCAATAGCTCCTTGCACCTATTAATTTTGCTCTTGGAAAAGACATCACTTGTACTGAACCTGTTCTACTAGTGATTATTTTGTGTTACTAGTGAAATTCCTCCAATTTCATTAAATAGATACTCTTTCTCTCCTATATGAAGATTTGTCATTGCCTAGTTATTGAAAAATGCCTTGTAGAAAAGACAATATAGACATTAACAAAATTATTACTAGTTACTATTCTCTCAGTTTACTTTTACTTTTCATTTTTTGTTATCGAGAGTCAAACTGTATAAACTTTGATCAACATTTAAGATGTAGTTTTTTCATCATTCTGATATGAGAAGTATTGTTAGTATTTTTTGTATAGTTTTCGAAAATTCAAATTTAAAATGTTGAATTAATTCAATTCGATTTAGCTTCGAAGATTAGTTAAATCGACTCTCATAAAGCGAAACGTGACAAGTAAAAATGAACAGAAGAAGTAATGGGGCCACAGATCCATATTTCTGATTAAAAATTTACGTGAACTCAAATAATAATTTGATATTGTTGTAGGAACTTATAAATTCAAATCCTAACTTGATGTTACTGTGAAAACTCATAAACTTCAAATCCTAATTTAACATCCTTATATAAAAACTCATAAATTTTAAATTATAGATCCACCTCCGCTTGAAATATAAGTTGAGAAATGACTACGTGATGTTATGTGTTAGAGAATGAGGAAACAAGAAAAGTGAAGAAATCATTTCATTCATAGCCCAAAATTTAATTCTGAAAAAGGAAGACAATCATTGTCTATTCTTTCACAAAAAACCCAAACAGCTAAAAATAAGTGATTTTCCCTCTCCTTCCTCCCCCCCCAATGTCTCTTTATTTTTCCATAATCTTTCATCATTTCGAAACCAAAAAGAAATATTATTGATATCAATTAATTTGAAAATATATCTTAATATTGAAGAACAAACTCGTTATTAATCAGTAACAAATATTTTTCACACTAATGAATTTTGTCATAATTGTCGGCTGTCGCATATATGTTAGATTTACGTGATTTGAAGCATATCTAAAGTATAACGAAAATAGAAATCGATATATTTTTGGCCATTATTGGATTTTCGATATTGATATTTTAATTTGCAAGGTCTTTCTAAGCACACAAAAATGTCATGTTAGATGATATGGAGTTCAAATGAGTAATTTTGTGTTTAGTATTGTTGAATCAAATCAGTGTTTTGAAATTGATATATTTATTCTTGATCCCAAATACTTATTCAAGAATACAACAACAACAAATTCAACATAATCTCATAAATGGAGTGAGTAAAAAGTAAAATATATACCGACCAACAACTTCTTAAAATCAAAATATCAGAAATTGATTTAAAATACTTTGCACATAAATTAGAAATTTTACATTACTTACAAACTAAGTTTTCTAGGAGAATAATTTGTATTGAAGCTATTATCCACTATTCATTTGTGGTATTGATACAAACTGTAATATTTTTAGCAACAAGAATTGTGGTGAATTTTTTATATTTATAGTTTAATATAAAATATAATATAATATAATAATAATAATGTAAGCTTTGTGAATGTGAGTAAGTATTAACTATATTTGTTGTAAATATATCGAGCATGATACACGAGTTATATGCAAAAATCGAATAATTAATTTTTTTGTCAAAGCATGTGATATTGTAATGAAATAAATTCAACCTAAATTTAGTACAAAGAGTGTGACATATCAACTTTAATTTCAAATAAAATTTGACTGAACGTGGCATTCCGTTTAAGTTTGAAAAAACTCGTTTGGAGAATTTTAGGCAAAATTTGAACTAAAACCTTTTTTTCTTAATATTTGGTTAGAAAAACCCCCTTCTATCTGTTGTCCTAAATATAGATGTATTTTAAAAAGTCAAGAAATAATTTTCAATTTTATATCTATATCATTCTTATTATTAAATATTAATTAATTTTTTTAAAAGAATATTAAGAATTGTCTTTCTACTTTTACAAGATAGTACACATCACCTTTTTTTGATCTTATTTGTAGAATTATATAAGGTATATTATTTTTGTTTGTGTTAAATTATAATGGACAGATAAAAATAAAGAATTTGTAACTTTTTAATATTCGAAACTTATCTTCAAAACTTCGAAGCAAGTGCTCACCTCACCTACTTGGAAAAAAATAATAAAAATCAGAATATCAATTTGTATTACCCTTAAATTTAGGGGTCCAAATAGTCAATTTAAAAACCTCTTAGCGTCAAAGAGAGCGCATGATTTTTGAATTTACAGTCAAAGCCCACTTTAATAATTTACACTTCTTTAGTCCCTTTTCTTCTTCAAGAATTTAGGGTTTCTCTTCTCCACCGACGGGAGGCGTTCTTTTCCTCCTCTTCTTCACAATTCTTCTCGAATTTCTTCTATATATAAGTGGGGTTCTCGTTCTTGATCCTTTTGATTTCTTATTCAAGCTGCTCGTATGGGTGAAAACGATTCAGAAAGCTCTGAAAGTGCCAAACCCAAGAATGTATCTGAAAATTCCGACGGAGGTGATGAATTGACGGGTTTAGAGGAAGATTCGAGCAAGATGGTTTCTGGGTTTGATTCAAGTTTTGATATTTCGGGGAAAAGTTTGGATTTTCCATTGTTGGAAGGTGTAGAAGGTGGGGTTGAAGGTTTGTATATGTATAAGAATGTATTTAATTTGATTCCTAAGGCAATTGGTGCACTTGGGAAGGTTAAGATACTTAAATTTTTTGGGAATGAGGTTAATTTGTTTCCAACTGGAGAGTTAAGGAATTTGGTTGAACTAGAGAGTTTGCAAGTGAAGGTATCATTTCCTGGGATGAGTGGATTGGATTTGCAGAAGTTAAAGAATTTGAAAGAATTGGAACTATGTAAAGTTCCCTCTAGACCTTCAGCTTTCCCACTTTTAAGAGATATTGCTGGTCTTAAGCGCCTGACTAAGCTCTCTGTCTGTCATTTTTCTATCAGGTTAGATCTGTTTCTTCTTGCAATAATTCTATCTAAGTTTATTTACACTAAACTCATGTTTACTATAGACAAATTACCTGTAGTTGGCTGTCAGTTAACTTGATAACATAAAATTTCTGACTTTGTCAATGTATAAATATTAAACCAATTCGATGATGTTTCTCTGTGAACCTGTCTATATTGTTGCACTAAATTCATGTGCAGGTTGCAGCTCAATGTGCTTTTGGTGTTATTGGAAGATTAGGTTGCATCTGCACTTTTTCGCTTTTGCTGCATTCCTTAAAGTAATTTGAATTTAATAGAACAAGTTTATTGCTAAACTATAGTTCTTACAAGTGCTAGCTGCTGCAACTATAAGTCCCAAGTTAAATAGTATTAAGCAAGGTACATGATCACACAAACTTCCATTAATACAAGGGAAACTAGGTAGGTAGAGCATCCTACCAGGATGTTTTTTGTGGTCTCTTTAAAGAGGTAAAGACAGGGAAAAAGTATTTGCAGGTTTAAATGGTTAGTTTCAGTTTTCGGGTACAAAATTTTCCTGTTAGTTCAAACTTGTTTTGTAGATTGACATGACCAAGCAAAACAATTTTATGCATGATTAGTAAAAGTTTTACAAAAACAACAGATCTTCTCAAAGAAATTTTGGATGTGGTAACACAGCTGGAGCATAAAAGAAAATAAAGACTTGTTTTTTCTGCTTAGATGCTTCATGAGATTGAAGTTTGTTAATTGGGACTAAAAGATATGCACAAAATTTTGTAAGTTGTTTATCGGGAGTTTAGACTTTAGCACTCTTCAAAGGGTATCAGTTTCTACTCTAGGACCATACTAAGTTCAACCAGGATATGATACGATATTAGGATTAGTCGATAGTACATAGCATAACTAGCCCTTGGTTAAGGGTCGTAAAGAGAGTTGTTTTTTAACTATTTATTTGTGTTTCCTTTAATTGAAATTTTTATTTTTGGTTTATGGGATTTCTCATCCTATAGTGCATCTTAGTTAGGTTAAACTCATCTTATTATTTTACCTCATGTAATTTGACAGCTGAAGAGGTTATATGGTTTGCCTTTATAATGGATAAATTTATTATTTTGAGGTTGGCATTATGCAGCCACCAGAAGACTTTTCCCTTTATCTCCGTCTTGTTGTTCCTTGCAACTACAACGA